TTGTCTCAAATGATGAGACTGTACTTTTTCTTTTAAATATAACTGAGTAATATTCCATTGTGTATTACACCACATCTCCCTGACCCACTCATCTATATCAGGGCATTCAAACTGTTGTCCTAGTTTGGCTATTGTAAATAGTGTCATCACAGAACATAAGCGAGCATGTGTCCCTTTCAATTTATATCCTTGCATTTTTGGATGTGACCCAGAAATTGCTAGTTCGTATGGTAGACCTATTTTTAATGTTTTGAGAAAACTCCACACTATTTTCCATTAGGGCTGGACCCCTGGACATCCCCTCCCAGTACACACAGACCCCATTTTCTCCATAGCCTCACCAGCACCTAACAGCAAGCGTGGTAGCTCCAGATCACAAGAACAGCATGTGCTGACCACTGAGGGGAAGTCTACACAGTCTGTTAGCTCACAGTGGGCCTCCCCAGGACTATCACCACATCTTAACATCTTAACACTAAACATTTGCAAGCCACACTGACTAAACCAGTTTTCTGTCCCTTGGCTCCACCCTCACTTTCTTAATCTTGACTGAATAGTGTAATCACCCAGGGGGCTTCAGAAAAGCAATGCCTGGATTCTAACCCCAGAGATTTTAATATAATTAGTGTGAGAAGAGGGGTGTCCTGGGTATTAAAAACTCCTGAGGAGAATTTAGACCAGACAAAATGTGCAAGCCTGCTGCTGTACATGGACAACTATTTTCATACCAACATGTTTGTTATGGACTGAATTGCCATCCCCTACCCCAGAAAAGACAGACGTCTTAATTTGCTGCTGTACCTCACAGGTGATCTTATTGGAAAATAGTATGAAGTAAAAATGAAGCCATACTATCTTGTGGACCCCAAGTCCAGCAACTGGTGACCTGTATTAAAAACAGGTGTCATGTAGGCCCTCCCTGGTGGCGCAGCGGGTTAAAGCACAGCACTAAAGAGAAAGCCATACAGGGGTAGTGCCGAGTGAAGATAAAGGCAGAGAAATACCAAAGATTGCCAGTAAATCATAGAAGCTGAAAGTCCTCAGTGGAGACCAACTCTACTGACACTTTGATTTAGGACCATCCTTTCACTAGAATATTCTTTATTCACCTTTGAGTTTTGACACAGGTACATCTCCCTTCTAAGACTTTGACACTCTTACCATCATCCACCTAGTCCTATAATTTACCAGAATTTATTTATTTATTTATTTATTTTTTTGCATATAAGAACTGGGGTGCAGGCCAGAGGAGCTGTGATTGAGAGGATTCACTAGAGACAGAGTAGGGAGAACAGGCAGATAGACTGAGATACACTGCTGAGGGGAGAAGCTGGCACACAGGAGAGGCCTGCTGCGCCATATGGGTTAGCTCCCTTGCTGTGGTTCGAACTTAGGCCATACTGGGGACAGAGCTGAGACTCAACCTCTAGGCCACTAGGGAAGCCTCAGACTATCGCTTTTTTTCTCTTTCAATATGTAATTGAAAACTTAAGTCCTGCACACAGTTTAGCATCAGACAAAAGGATGAACAAGCACAGTCTCTACTCTGGCAGGGTTCAATCTAGCAGGGAAGGTAACTAAGTAACTACCCAAATAAATACAACTCTTTGCATCAAAAGAAGCTATGATTGATGCAACCATGTCCCAGGATTCACTTTTCTTAAGGATATCAAAGCAAGACTTCTTTTAAGGGTAACACCAAAGTGTGAAATGATTCAGAATAAGTATAAGGGGAAAAAAAAAAAAAAGATGCTAAGGACCCAACCTGGTGGAGCAATGAGTTAGATACAGCACTGCAAGCTGGCAGCAGCTGCTTCAGTGAGTTCCATCCCCAGCGATCCACATGGCACAGCAGACCTCTTCTTAATTGCCAGCTGCTCCCCTCAGCAGTGTACTTCGTCCATCTGCCTGTTCTGCTCCCCATTGTCTCTGGTGAAGCCTCTCACCCACTACACCTCTGGCCTGTACCCCAGTACTGTATGCATGAATAAATAACTCTTTAAAAAAGATGCTTCAGGGCCCTCCCTGGCGGCACAGTGGGTTAAAGCACAGCACTAAGAAGCTTAAGCCACTTGCACATGAGTTCGATCCCTGCCTGCCCGGAGATCCACATGGTGGCAGACATCTCCTGAGAGGCTCACTGCTCCCCTCAGCAGTGTACTTCCTCACTCTGCCTGTTCTGCTCCCCACTCTGTCTCTGGTGAATCCTCTCACCCTCCGCATTTCTGGCCTCTACCCCAGCTCTATATGAATAAATAAATCTTTAAAAAAAAAAATGCTTCAACTGAGACCCTTTCCACCAAGTCAAATCCAAATAATCCCTTGTAAACCCAGCTCTTCCTAGTGCAAGGACCCAGGCTTCACCCAGCACCCTTTCTGTTGTGTTCCATCCTACAGCAGCCCACTGAGAGGGGGAAATCAAGGGCAGCCATGTCCTGGGACTTGAACTCCTGAGCATCATGCTGTGGCTTTGACAGAGGGGATGAAGCTAAAATGGGATGACAGCGCAGCAGCCTCTTCCTTCCCCTGCCCAGAGGCACTCACCTCTAGAGATTTGTCTCTGCACCTTCTGTCCAATCAGTTGACACAGACTGGTGAAGTGGAAAAGACTGTTTCTAGGGCAGGAGACACGGACCCCAGGGCCTGCCCAGCACAGTGCAGCCTGGGCTCCATCAGCGGCCAGGAGCCCATGCAGGGCCACACCCTCACCTGCCTTCCACCTTTCTGCTCTCACAATCCCTGTGTGGTCCCTTCTGGCCCCAGCCCATGAAGTGGTTTTTCTGTAAAGTATCATGGTTTTCTACATTCAAGTGGCCATTTCGGACGACACATGAAAGACAGTGAACTGGATTTGCAAAGGCTTTGTGGCTAGAAGGAGGCATTGGGCATGTTTATTTAGGTCGGTGGATTAGGTAAAGTACTTTCTAAGATTTAAAAACCTGATCCTTACAGAAATGGAGATGGATATCTGTCAATCAATGATTTTGCTCAACACAGCAACCAGTGAGGGAACAAGTCTGGAAGGACGCTGGTTACTTACTGGCGTTTATACAAAATGCTAAAACAAGATTGCTTACCTACAAAACTGGCTAATACTGTACTGAGCAGTAAAACCAAAACATTTAGGGATTTTCTTATACCAGATAACTCTTCAAGTTCACATGTAACTTTATGGTAAATACCAAAGTCAAATACAAGTATTTCTTCCTAGAGAATTTAAATAGTGTCTTAGAGTGGCACTGAGGGGTCATGCGAGTGCTCTCTGCTTTTACATTTAGGGAAATAGTTCTCATTAGTCAAGTTGCAGAGGCAGGAAAAATTTGATGCAAGAGGGTGGAGGTTTAGAATCCCAGCAAGCATTACTAAATTCTTACATACAGACTCTCCCTCGAGCAACTGGGCGGGGACTGAGTGTCACCATCTAGTTCTTAACCTATTTCCTCCCCCAAATCTTTCTGTGATGTGGTGTGAAGATGTGCAACATTTCCTGAGCTTACTTCTTAAACCACTGCCACCAACCCTCCCCCGCCCCCACAAAAAAAATAAATCCACGTGGTTTAAAAGCTTCAGAATTCCAAATCAGTGTTCAAAGACAGTTATTTAAATTCTCTCTGGCTGGGCCCTCCCTGATGGCACAAGGGGTGAAAGCACATCACTATGAAGCTATCCACAGCCACTGCAGCATGAGTTCAATCCCCAGCCAGGAAGGTGACCCACATGGCACACTAGACCTCTCTCCTGCCACTGCTTCCCTCAGCAGTATATTTCAGTCAAATTGCCTGTTCTGTCCCCCACTGTCTCTGCTGAACCCTCTCACCCCCTTCTCCTCTGGCCTATGCCCCAGGTTTTACATGCATAACTAAATAAAATCTTAAAAATAAATAAACTCTCAGACTCCTGTGAGTCAGTAGATCAGTTTTCTTTTATTTGCCTTTTGCTTCTCCCCTTTACTCTGCCCACACAGAACAGATTGTCTGCAGTACCTACAAAGTATCTACAGGGATATGCTATGCTTCCTCCACACCCTAGAGACATTGGCTTGTACTTTTAGAAAATTTAAATAAAATTGGACCATTGCCCTCGGCAGTCATGTTTATACAATAGGTTTCTATGCAATAGGGATTAAGACAACTTGCTTTTTGCTATGATGATACAGGTTTAATACTTTACCCTGTTCCTAGATACTTAACAGCATGTGACTTAATGAAAATTAACAGACCACCAAGCCTCAGTTTCTACAGTTAAGTTTAATAAACACTTCTAGGTTGTTAAAAATATTAGGGAAAATAAAGTAAGAAAAACCTTCCACAAAGTTCCTCTACAAATATGTTGTCATCTTCTCAGCATTGTAGCCCTGAGCAAGACTATAGGAAAAAACATTTTTCAGTAGATTGTCAATGAAGAAAGCAAACAGAAGACACCATTACAATATATCCAATTTTCCTTAAGAGAAAGGAGTATGTTACTTAAAAATAATTTTAAAACATTAACATTTCCCATAATGTTAATTACCTTCCTGGGGTGGGGTGGGGGAAATTCATGCAAAATTAAGTTATTCTGCATCTGGAATGTAAGCGGTAGGAGTTTCTGACCCTGTCAGAACGTCAAGTGTCTCCACAGGCCACTGTGATATCAAGTCTAAAGCTCTGATTATGATGAATGTTCAAAAATTTTTCTAGTTAACCTAATACTCAGGTTTTATCTCTTCTCTAATTTCTCTATCTAGGTGGGTGGGGAGGGCAAAAAAATTTTTGCTTTACCTAATGTTGCATATACATTTCTGATTCTAACTCACCCAGGACCCTTCAATTATTATCAATCATGACTCAGCTCCAATGTAGCTTCTTACACTAATTTAGGTATTGAGAGTCACAAGGGCAAAGGTTTTGGGGAACAGAACTGGGGTTAGGTGTTATAAATTCCATATTGGATTACTTTATATCCATTCTTCTATAAAATCATGTTTTCAACTTTCTGGTATCACACCTTAGATCTCATGCCTAGGAAGATATCGGGCCAACAGGAACAGAATAGGGAGGAGCAGGGGGCAGGCAGATGCTGAGAGAGTCTGAAATGGTGCCTCTGTTTGGGATACAAAGAGAAAACAAAGGCCTGAGTGCGCCCTGGAATGGGAGGCTAGAGAAATTATAAACGAGGGCTCCCTCTGTCATGTCATAGAAGGACACCTGACCCCACTCATAGTCCAGGAAAACTCCGACTTTGTGCATTTGCTCTCTCAGGGAGACCTTTTTTAAAGGGGGAGAAACCCAGTAGGTATACTGGGTCCCCATTACAGATCTTGTCAGTGAGATTGTATTTCTGGAAGCTTTGGGTGCCATATCCTTTCTGTTGACAGAGTCCTCACAGATGCCTAATTGCCACGCTGCTGCCTTTTCGACATCCACTTCCCAGTAGTGCCTTCCTGAAGTAAAACTCTCCACACCCAACACGGTAGCACTGAAGTCAAATCTCCCTGGGTTTCCTGATATAGCCTGCTGGATATATCTAAGACCTATGCTTCTCAGATCCTTGGATAAGACCAGCCAGGGATGAGCTGTTTTAGGATCCAAAGTTATACTTCCTGCAGGGAGAAAAAGAAATTGAGGTAAGCTAGGGGTTCACCAGTGCCAGTGCCAGAGACAGGACAGCTAACATGCAGGGATTTCCCAAAGGACGGGCACACACCTCAGGCAGATACAGGAGTCTAGGAAAACGAACCCCCTAAGCTTTGTATAAGGAAGTTGATAGCAGAGGAATTAAATCAGTTAGATGATGGTAGGAGATGCAATCTAGCTGAAGAACAAAACAAATAAGGAATGAACATAAGCTTGGAGGTGCCTTTCAAACCAGAATGGAATGTTTCTAAGTTGTGAAATTTGAGGGTTGTCGATTATCTAGTCTTAAACAACTGGGACCGATTCTATTCTCTTGTCTGATCTTCCTAAGCCTGGAGTAGTAAAAAGCACTGGGGTCTCCCTCAAGGGCATTAGATTCCTGGCTCTTCCCCATGACTGAACTGCCCTTCTCACCTTAAAGGTCACCAGAGTGTGGCACAGATGCCTAGGACTATGGCCAACAGACTTGATTTTAAATAAATCAAAAGGACATAATTGTAGAGGTTAGAAACCCATCCTCCAAAAGCAAAATGTGGTCTCTTAAACTAAGTGAAGGTAAGATTGGCTTTCTGCATGTCTCACCATTACTTCTTGATCTGTTTCTGTTCAACCTGTAACTATTGTGACTTCTCAGGACTTGGTCCTGGGTCTTCCTTTTTTACTCTTGTGTTCTGTTCCCCTTAGATGACATCCCCTAGCCTGGGATGTTTTTAATATCTTCTATATGTTGATGACTTAGTTCATAAACAAGCCGCCAAAAAGCAAGTGGCCATAACATGGGTATTTCAAACACCTACACCCAAAAACTGAAGTCCAAAGGCATTCCTTTCCAGTTTCCCCTTGTCAGTTAATAGGACCTTTATTACTTGAGTGGACCACGCCATAAGTCTGGATTATTCCTTACTTTTCAATATTTAATCCAGCAACAAAGATTATTATTCAAAACCCCCTACATCTCTGGACTTATAGTCTAATTCACATCATGAATAAAGTGGTCTTAAAAGCCATGAGGCTGAATTTTAAATTTCATATTGTCTCAAGCCCCTAGACTTTCTAGAAGACTGAAAGAAACAAATTCACTGGAAGAAGGTACACCTTCATTGTTGGTCTCGAGAATTTCTAAATATAATTTTCAAGGGAAAGGGGAAGCATACTCATTAAAATTATTAAACACCCACAAAGAAAGCACTCTGAGGCTAGAAGAAATAAATCTATAAAATCGGAATTCTCAGTTAGACTCCAAAATAATTTTCACTTACTGTGTTTGAAGAAAAAAGCTTAGTAACTATAGGGAATAAGTAACTAAAAAGCAAAAACCAAGAGAATTTACCAAAAAGCCAACTAGATTGTCCAGAAAAAAAAAAATCATATGAAAAATGTCAATGGATAACAATGGATAATTACTAGGAAAGTAAGATATAGATCAATATGCTCTCAGTAACATGAATGCACAAATTCTTCACAAAATGTTATTATGTTGAATCCAACAATACATAAAATTGGTAAAATATTATTTCTAAAAGTTTGTCATGGTAATACAAGGCTGGTAAACAAGGAAAAAAGCAACCACCATATTAATATATTAATGGGTCCTCCCTGGCAGCACAGGGCTTAAGTCTCAGCACTATGAAGCTATCCACAGCCACTGCAGCACAAATTGGGATTCCCCACCAGGGAGCTGATGCACATGAGGCAGCAGACCTCTCCTGTCTCACCCACTGCTCCCCTTAACAGTGTTCAGTCGATCTGCTTTTTCTGCTGTCCACTCTGTCTGTGGTGATTCCCCTCCCCACACAAACCTCTGGCCTATACCCCATCTCTTGCATGCATAAGTAAATAAATCTTTTAAAAAAATAACTGTATTGATATGAGAGGGAAATAGGATGAGTACTTCGATACAAAGAAGGGAAAGTATGAAAACTCTAAAACATCTAACATCATACTTAAAGGTGAAAGGCTTAGATTTCTTTCTTCCTAAAATTAAGAGCAAGGCAAATGATTTTCACCCTTCTTATTAGAGGTCCTGCCAGCATAAAAGGAATAAAAATACAAGTAGGCCTACAGATTAGAAAGGAAGAAATAAAAGTATATAAAATTCATAGATTATTTGACTTTGTAGAAATTCCCAAAGAATCTATAAGAAAGTCAGTAGGATCTAGTGAGTTTAGCATAATTGTAAGATAATATCAATATACATAAACCAATATTATTTCTATTGAATAAACTAGAAATGAATTTCTATTAGAAGTTCACATTTTAAAAAGCCATTAACGGTACTAAAAAACAATCACGGGTCAGTCTAATTAAATATATACAATATATATGTGTTGAAAATCATAAAACATTGATGCCCAGACCAAAGAACTAATTAAGTGTTATCTCAAAATTATAGATTAGATGGAATAACACTCCAAAATCCCAGCAATTTTTTTTGTAGACATCAACAAGCTGATTTTCAAATGTGGAAAATCAAAGGCTCTAGAGTACCCACAATTATTTTTTCAAGAGAATGAATTTAGCGAATTCACAGCACTTGATTTTTAGACTCCTATACAGCAATCAATCACACTAGCATGGTATTGGCAAAAAGATAGACACAGTGATCAATGTACCTATTAGAGTCGATCCACACAGACCAGCTCATATATATATACCAAGTGATTTGCAACAAAGGTGCTCAAGAAATTTAACACTGAAGGACATTTTCCACAAATGCTAGAACACTGGATATATGTGTGTGTGTATAAGAAATAGGGGAGGGAGAGTTGTATCATATCTTAAGTCATATACAAATATTAGCTCTACACGGGCAATAGATCTAAATGGCAAGCCCAGAACTGTAAAACCTGTAGAAAAAAAAATCTTTGTTAGGGTAAGGAGAGATATCTTAAATAAGGATACAAAAAGAAAACACCATATAAAAGCAACTTACAAACTGAATCACAAATTTTTAAACTTCTGTCCTTTAGAAGATACTAAGAGACAAATGAAAAATAAATCACAGACTAGGCAAAATTTTTGGATAAACGTCTACCTGATAAAAATATTGGTAATCAGAATACAAAGAAATTAGAAATCTCAAGAAAACATAAGGCACAAATTTTAAGATGGGAAAAGATGGACATAATTCATCAAAAAACATGCCCAATATAAATCTACAGAACGCTAAGTGTAAGAAGTCATACGCCAAGGACCACCATGAGCAAATCCATGGGTGGACAGGACATTTTAGAAAAGACAGAACTATGGGGCAAGAGAGATAGTGTTTTGTTATCCATGCTGACATTTTTCCCCCAGATGTTTCAAACTTTTAAGTGGTTGAATATGCTTGCAATTATGTTTCTGAGCTGGGAAACTGGTAAAGATAAGATTGCACAATTATTTCCTTGATCATTATCTACTGTGTGTAGAACATTAGACTCATCTTTTCAAATCCTTAAACTATCTGGATTCTCAGATACAGAAAGAAAACACCTTATATGTTCAACTTACTCTGGAGCACTTTCACCCATTTGCTAAGTCCTGTTATTTGGATTAGACTGAGGTCTGTGATCTGGGCAGGCTCCAGACACTGAGTCAGCAGAGCCTCACTCCTAGAAAGAAAGGACAATCTCAGATTATCTGTGCAGGCCCCAGGCCCTTCCATCCAAAGTATGCATCTTATTGCATGACCTCCCCTGTCTCGAACCTCAACATCTTTACCCCATGTTCATTTCAGACTCTGATTCTGACTCAAATGCCCACCAAATGAAGCCTTACCTTGCAAAAAAATATCTTGCATTCTAAAGAAGGGAGGAAAAAAATAAGGTTATTATTGGGTATTTGCGCTTTCTGTAAGTCGCACCTGTGAAAATAGCTTTTTATTAATAATGAAGTTAATTTTCATATAATTTCTTTGGCCTCATGAGCTTCATGATGCTAATTCTCAGGTGTCAAATTGTAGCCCTGAATAGGAAAAGTAAAAAAAAAAAAAAAAATGCTTGAAGCTATAGGTATATTACAAAGGGAATATTTTTTTACACCTACCTCAGTCACTCATCATTCAAATGTTGCCCATGTGATGGAGCAGATGAATGGGCCTGCTCGGCTAGAAGGGTGATTAGAGCCAGAAATTGAGCAAAATTAGGTCATACTGACTACATTGTCTATGCCTACCTCTGGAAAGGGACCAAGGATCTGAATGCATCAAAGCTTCTCAAATAAGAGCACTCACTGTGCAAAATATGCCCTTGGCAGAGGTCTTATTTAAAAAATGATAATTTTTTTGGGCCCTTCCTGGTGGCGCAGCGGGTTAAAGCACTGCACTGAGAAGCTAAAGCCACTTCCGCATGAGTTCGATCCCTGCCTGCCCCGGAGGTGACCACATGGCGCGGCAGACCTCTCCTGACCCGCCTGCTGCTCCCCTCAGCAATGCACTTCATCGATCTGCCTGTTCTGCTCCCCACTCTGTCTCTGGTGAATCCTCTCACCCTCCGCATCTCTGGCCTGTACCCCAGTTCTGTATGAATAAATATTTAAAAAAAGAAAAAAGATAATTTTTTACTGAAAAAGTAATGCACATTACCATACAAAAGTGAAAGAAACAATACCATCCAATTTCTAATGATATAAGAGCACACATATCTACATGCAAATACATGATCTTTAAAACCAAACAAGAAGTGGTCCTGCAGTTCTTTTTACTTCATCGATTTCCTTGAAGACAATCATTTAATGCCTATGGAGCTGCTTCTTTATGACTGCAGAATATTCAATTGTAATGTCACTAACCACTTATTTACCTATTAAAAGATTATCTCCAAAATACATTGTTAATACTTTTAAAGCGAGAATTCATATTAGGAATTAGTGTTATGATACTATTTTATGATGATTCCTAATTATTTGATCCAAAAACAGCTATAATGCCTTCAAAATCTTAGCTATTTTATGAATAGGTTGAAGATCCCTGGCCATTGTTTCTAGAATAGACTCCAGTGAGTCCTGTCCACTTCTCATTTGGCAAATCCTGAATTGAAGCATATTTCTAGAATCTTACCTGAAGCAGCACTATGGCAGATCCCCCACACTTTTCTAGCTCTTCTGCCATCTCTTGGAGGCTACAGATCTCTTTAGAGAGCCTGACTTCACTCTCCTTCAATTTTTTCATGTTCTCTCTCCCCAACTCTTTCAGTTTCTGCAGAAACATGATGCTATTATGATTTTACAATAGCTATTTTTCCTTAGTTGCTAACTCAGCCACCTCTTAAAAACCTGCTTTATACTGCCTGTCAACCCAGAAGTAGGCATAATTAGATGTGGCCACAATGTCCCTGTATCAAGTGGGACATCTCAGGAGAAACCTGATTCCCTGACATACTAGATTTATGCCAACATGGATGGTGTACCCACAGCCCACCAGGACCTAAAACATCATACTTTTTTTTTTTAACTGTGTAGATCTGCTTAGAAAGCGTCCTATTTCTTTCATTAAATTAAAATTAAAACTTATTTCAATTTAATTAAGAACTGAATCAAACAATTATGAGAGTTAAATAATCAAGTCACTGATCCCAGTATCCCTTTTATTCTTGCAAAGATGTTCCACCTAAGCACGTTTTCATGTTATTTTTCTCTTAAAGAACGCAAATGATGGTCCATTATACTATATTGCTGATCTGAAAGTCTGTTCTTTTCTTAATAAGTAAATACACTATTAGAGAGCATTAGAGTCTTACATATACAACCATATTATTTTTTCTAAATGTTCAAGCACATTCCATTTCATGAACATAATGTAATTTTTGGATTACCATATTGACAGATACAGATTATTTAAAGAGCTTTATGTAGATTATCTCACTCAATCTTCACAAGAATGTTATGATCTAAGGATCATTATTATCCCTATTTTACAGTTAAGGATACTGAATCAATTGTTGAGCAACACGTTCCAGGCCACCTAGAGGCTAATAAATTAAGTAAAACCTGAAGAGGATACCTCATTCATCTGGCATCAAAGACTACCTTTAAATAAATCCTAGCTCTACTTACCGAAATAATTTGTGTTTCTTTTCCCACATGTATATACATGGAAATAATATGGAACACAAATTCTCAGAAGCAGAAGTAAAGGGTAAACATTCTTTAAACATATCTGTGTTCTCACTGGATGTCTCATCTAAGTATGTTATTTCAATATCTCACCTGTAGGACTTCCTGGGACTTCTCTGCTTCTTTGGCAAACCCAGTCAATTGATTCAGAGTGACCTCTCTCAAGTGCAGGTCAGAAGTGTACCCCTGTAGGCTGTGGAAGTTCACCATATTCTCTTCAATCATCAATCGGAGCAATATCCTAAATTCAGACTCAATAATCTCTTTAAAATTCTGTTCTTCTCCCTTCATCATAGACATAAATATGTTAGATATCATGTAGATGTAGGCTGGCCATAATTATTTTTCTCTTTCCATCTTTAACTCCAATATAAGGACAAGACTTTTCACCCAAATCTTGATACACAATACTCTTGACACTGACAAATCTTCTCTTCCCTGTGACTACAAAATTCTTACCAAGAACCAAGGTGCATGTGCCTCCCCAAATGGCACTTTTTGAATGTCAAGGGCCTGACCAATTTATTCAAAAGTACACCCAAAATAGCCTGTCCAGTTTTTAAAGAACTTTTCTTTCCTGCAGTTACGATATAATATACTATGTATTTTACTTGGTTTACTTACCTGTACTAGAACTGTCAGACACACAAGGGAGAACTGTATTTCTCCCACTGGTGAATGTATAGCACCTAGCATAGTTCCAGGCAAACTGTCAGACCTCACTATTTGTAGAGTATAAAGTATTGGGCAAAAAAATAAATGGGGATCAATTACAAAAGTTGTTGCACAGCCAGGCAATTTTCCCTGCTGCCATCCTCAACTGGATATTTTTCTTTAAAAAACTGGAAGAGAGAAGATTGAGAATCTGGGACACGTAGTATGGAACAGTAAATACAAAGGGAGTTTGAAATCAGGAGTGAAATTTGTGTATACTGCATAACTTGCTGTCAATTTGGGTAATAATTCTTTAAATTACTTCAGCATTTATATTACCACCAAAAATACACGAAATGCTTGCCATTCTGTGGCACTGTTACAAAGATTGTAAATGCTATCTCACTAACAAATAGAATACAATCACTTCTATTTTTCCATGAGCAAAAAAGTTCAGAATCTTCTTCTATGTTCTAAAGATACTTGGCTATAAACTCTCATTTCTTTGGTCATGTTCCTATTGAGGTTCCAGACTTTTGTTTACTGATATTTAAAAGCTCTTTATGTTAGAAGCTATTTTCCTTCCTATAGACTTCAAATATAGTTTCCTACTTTATTATGTCTTTTAACCTAAGTTTATATTGTTTGCTACCCAACATTTCCTCTAAGAATCAAGATAAGCACTGACCTGAATCATCACCATCCTTTCTTGCTCATCAGCCAGTATACTTTTAGCTACTTCAATTTTCCCCTTCAATGTGTTCAATATCTCCTGGAATAACTTCTGCAGAGAAATTTATCACAGAACTTTAAGTGCCTGATTTAGAACAATCCACTTAAAAATGGGCCGAGGATCTGAATAAACAATTTTCCAAAGAAGGTTATATGAATGATAGACTTCATAATCAGGGCAATGCAAATCAGGATCAAAACCAAGTGAGCTATCACCTCACACTTCTAAAATAGCTATTATAAATAATAGCATTGGTGAGGGAAGCCTTGTGCAACAGTAAATTGGTGCAGCCACTGTGGAAAACAGCATGAATATTCCTCAAAAAATTAATAATAGAATTACAAAATGATCCAAAAATTACATTTCTAGGTATTTAACCAACGAAAAATATAAACACTAACTTAAAAAGATACCTGGATCGTCATGTTCACTGCATCATTACTTACAGTACCCAAGACAGGTAAGCAATCTAAATACCCATCAGTGGATAAATAAAGTAATTCACATAAAATATAATATATAATAATATAATGTGTGTAATATATGTCTATGTGTACAAGAGAGGTCTGCTGCACCACGTGGGTCACCTCCTGGGACTGGAATCAAACTCGCACTGAAACGGCTGCTTTCAGTGCTGCGTCCTAACCAGTTGTACCACCCGAGGAGGGCCCATATATGGAACATTTAAAGAGAGAAAACCGGGACCATGCCTGGTGGCAATGGGTTAAAGCGCAGCACTGCAAGCAGCGGCTTCAGTGCAGAGTTAGATCTCCTGACCCACCCACCTCTCCCCTCAGCAGTGTATTTATGTCAGTTTGCGTGTTCTGGTCCCCCACGCTGTCTCTGGTGAATCCTCTTACCGTCCCTGCAACTCTGGCCTGCACCCCAGTTCTGTATGCATAAATAAATAAAATCTTTAAAAGAAAACCAGGCCTTCCTGGAGGTATAAGGGGTTAAATTACAGCATTAGGAAACTAGCCACAGGCCACTGCAGCATGAATTTGATCCGTGGCCAAGGAGCTAATCCACACGGCACAGCAAGTCTGTCTTGTCCTCTGCTCCCCTCAGCACGTCTCAGTAGATCTGCCTGTTCAGTAGATCCTGCCTGTTCTGCTCCTCGCTCTGTCTCTGGTGAATGCTCTCACCCCGACCCCCACTCCCAACTGCCTTCCCCCCACCTCTGGAGGGCACAGTAACTCTTGCATACATGTAATAAACCTTTAAAAAAAAAAAAAAAAGGGGGAAAAAAAAACCTACCTCATATACAGAGAACACATCGATGATTGCCAGAGGTGGGGTGAGAAGAGGGAGAAATGAGTGAAGGTGGTCAAAAGGTACAAATTGCCAGTAATAAAGTAAATAATTGCGGAGAATGTAATATACAGCATAGTTATAGTTAATAATCCTGTATCGTAAGTTTAAGTTGCCAAGAGAGTAGGTCTTAAATGTTCTGATCACATATAAAATAAATTTTTAATGATTTACGCTTATTGTGATCAGTTTGCAGTATATACAAATATCATGTTATACACTTGAAACCAATGTTACATGTCAATTATAAGTCAGTAAGAGAAAAGAAGTGGTACTTCTAACCTCAGACAATTAAAAAGTCAATAGCCCGAATTATATATTTAATTAGGTAGGTAGAAATCCCATCTTTAAATGGGTACCACTTGCCTAGTATTGTGACAAGCAATGGCCAACGGAATGGCCTTAGCCATCTCAAACATCTGTCCCTCCAAGAAGTAAGTCACTGAAATAAAGCAGCCAGGTGGCCGAGATGAGGCTTACCCTGTACTTTTCCCCAGCCTCTCGGACTCCAGACACCATGTGATGCTTGTGCTCCTGGGACTGGAAACATTCGCCGCAAAATACTGTTTGGTCATCATCACAGAAGAGCTGCAGACGCTCACGGTGTTTCTCACAGTAGGTATCTTCTGGGTTTTTTTGCTGCAACGGGGGTCTGAATCTTTTGGACATCCCAGCAGGTCGCCAGTAGAAGACTGGGCTGTTTCTGAAGAATATTTCCCTGCACCCCGAACAGAAAAACAGTGATGGACTCCCTCAGCAGAGGCTTTGGTCAGCCTCAGCGTCCGCGGTCAAGCATCAAAGACCCCAAGCAGACCAAGCAAATAAAGTGTATGCTGCCCTTCCCCAAATCGAGAAAAATTCCAGCAGCCAAGTACTCAGGAAAGGAGACAAAGACCTACTGCAACATTCTTAGATTAGAGGGCCGCTCTCAAATTTTCGGAGCATTTTGAGCAATTGGGAGAAAATATTAGCTGTAAGTGAGAACAGCACTCACCTTTCTTAAAAGGTGCTCACTAGCCTTTGTGCATTAATGAGCACTGGAGGAACAAACAGTTGGGTGGTGGCAAAGCCCACAGAACACTTCCTGGACATTCATTTAAGGAATCACTCACACTCCCAGTGTTTGCAGGAGCTAGAAAACAAGGATTTGCTTGGTGCCTCCTTAAGCGGAATGTGCTTTGCGGAGCCATATTAAGGTGGTATTTGACTATTCGGCTCTTGGATGCGCATGTGCACTAGAGTCAGGTGCATCAACTTGCCTTTTAAGCAAAATTCCTTATAGCAATCTGTTTTTTTTTTTATAAGATTTATTTATTTGTGCATACAGAACTGGGGTACAGGCCAGAGGCTCAGCGGCGGCGAGAGGCTTCACCCAGAGACAGTGGGGAGAAGAACAGGCAGATCAACTAAGTACATCGGGCGGGTCAGGAGAGGTCTGCCACGCCATGTGGTCACCTCTGGGGCAGGCGCTGATCGAACTCAAGCGGA